TCTTTATTTGTGAGGAAATTGTCATGAATGCACTGCAATGAACATTTGATTTTCGGAAATACCAACATGGCACTTAACCCCGCTATCGGAAATATTAATTTCTATTAATGTACATGGGGAAATATTTATCATTGCAAGACATTTTATAATCATTTATTTCTATGTTTGTCTACCGCCATGTTTCTGGCCGAGGGTCATTGTCTGATGTGGTTGTTTTGGGCGTTTTAACTTTCGACATTATACTGGGCTTCATACTCTTAAAAATGGCTATCACGCAGCTCATTCTTTAAACATTTCATTTAACATTAATCATACCAGAAATTTCCATGCGTTATTAAACATAAATGAACATAGAAATGGCGATAGAGAGAAATTAATGAAATCTGAAAACAAGGAAAGACCACCAAAACGCGTTTTCTGCAATCACTGTAGTTTTGTCAGTCGTAGCAAAAATCACAAGCAGTCAGTCAATTATGCCCCATGGGTGATACACGCTTGGGCGATCAGGTATATTTCAATACATGACTGACGAGGCAGTTTTTCCCCCGCAATAGGTTGCCATTTCTTTCGGCGGTAAACCAGTTGCCATCCAAGGCTACAGAACCCGGTCTGTCCTGCTATTTACCATAGCTTGGGGAGAAGAAGAGGATTCATACCTTTGCCAAGGGTATTAACACGTAAGTGAATTAATGGATTCGAATGGAATTCGAACTCAGCTCTCCGATTCCTCAATCTGAGACGCTATACATTCTTTCGTTTTATGTGCTATGTCCTTTCCGGACATAGGCGATCATAGCTCTCCACCTCTCTCTATCCCTTGCAGTTCCCAGCAAGCTTCTTCCCTCTGCTTCCTCTCTCAGATCACGTTCTTTCATCCACCTACTCAAGCTCGACAGGTATGTCACGCGTTTTTTCACTTGTCTCTCTTTTCTTCTATTCGACCCGTGAGTATCAGATTCCCCATGCGCTTCTTCCTCACTATGTGCCCCAGAAACTTCAGCTGCCTCTTTTCGATGTTAAGCATAAGCCTTCTTCTTGTTTGCAACCTAAGACCTCATGGTTGCTCACATGCTCGATTCATGATATCCTTAGCAACCTACTGTAGAACCACCTCTCTGTAACCTCGAGGCTCTTCTTCATCTTTGAGGAAATCGTCCAGCATTCGCTGCCGGAATGAAGAACAGATGTCACGCTATCCATTATTCCACTGGAACGTGATTTTGTGGCATGGGCACGCTCAAAAATGGTTTCGAAAGGCAGAGCCTCATTCGGGGAGGTTGACCAAACCGATTCACGTTAAACTCGGCCTTGTGTAACATGCAACCATCGTGGGGGGGTAGATACCGAATCGAGTCGAGTTTCTTGGCTTGAAAGTCGAACTCTCTGCCTCTGAGCAGAGAGGAATCCGGACGAGGCTCCGCCGAAGGGCAGAGTCTTGTTCGGGGAGGTTGAACAACCCCATCCCGTTTATATGTGTTTTACGGACATTTTTTGGCCGATCCTACGGTCTCGAGAAACCCACGTTAAACTCGGCTTTGTGCCAAATGCAACCCTTGTGGGGGGGGGTGGCTAGATACAGAATCGAGTCGAGCCGATAGTAGTTCGCTCCAAACCAGACTGACAGTCATACTAACACCTTCCACATGTTGTATTATTATTTCGTGTAATATACCTTCGTTATTTCTACACTTGTGTTCGTATTGTTCTTCCTTGGTCCTAACCTGGACCATAACAGTAGAAATACTCAATTCACGGTTTAAACTTTACTCAGTATTATGGTAAGTGAATCATTTATGAAATATAAAAGGAAAAAAAACTATCCTTTAAAATTTACAATAAATTTAACATTTGATATTGTAATAATTTATATAATTTTTTTCGAGTGGAAGCATTCTACAAGAACCAATGATTATCGGTAAATAATATTACTTACACGAACGGGTTGTTAACAGCTATAGGCTTTCCGATTGTATTTGATTACTGTAAAAGTTCGGGTCAGATTAGAAAATTAAAAAGAATACTTACAAAAAAAGCATGTATTAGTGATGACATTATCTCTGTTCTTTTTCACAACTGTATCCGTCATTCTGCAAAGACTTTATATAAGATTCACAGTGAAACATCGTGTTTTTTTTGTTTCTTTGTTCGTGTTTTTGTTTTGTTTGTTTTTTTGTTGTTGTTTTTTTTTGCTTAAAGAAAGTTGTGAATTAGTTTTCGTTTGATTATACTGACTCACGTTCGTTTTTAGATAGCTTAAAAGCCGCCCTTATTGGGTGTCTATTAACCTATCTCCTACGGAGAGCTCTTAATTGGGCTTGTTCAGGTGTTTGAGAGTCCCTAAATCTTTGCATATTCTCAACATTGTAAGCTTTGATCTGAGTTTTCATTTGCAAGGGACCTTATTTTTGTGGCTGCAGAATTGACACTTTTGATTGCAATCTGGTCCACTGCTGGAGGAGATTTCTTTTTGCGGTCCATACTGCTGCCGTACCCAATGAGCAACAATAATCTACAGTACCCAAAATCGATTTAAGTATCTCATTCATATTTAAGCTTCCCTTTTAAAAGTTCAGCGATAATTCTTCATCCACCACTTAATTTAAAGACAATTTGATTTACTAGGACCTTACTTTACTTTACACAATTAATTTCAAGTATTTACAACTTTATTTCCAAGTTATAAAAATTGTTATTGTACAAAAAAATCATCATGAAAAATCATATAAAAATATATCGCCGAAAGGAACTGCACTAATGAAAACTTCGGTATCCAAAATGTCCGGATTGCAGGTACGGATCCGACCCGGGATATTTTTAATTTGTTCACGGAGTAAACTTGATTGCAAAAATGGTTGATATGTTGGGTTCCGGTCTCCAGAAGTAAAGATGAAAACATGAATAATTTTATTTTGAAATACTGCAATTTGAGTAATTTTGGATTTGATCATAGCTATTGAAAGTTAGAGAGTTGTGTCCCTTTAATTGTTTTTATCAGTAGAAGAAAAGATGGCGGAATCCGGCCCGTTATCTTTTTAATCTGTTCACAGATTTGGCCTGATTCCAAAATGGTATGATATGTTGAACCACAGTCTTTAGGAGTAAAGATGAAAAAGTGTGACACGGTGACAGGCAGATTCGCATTTATTATATAGAGGAAAATCGTGTGCGATATTTTGCAGTGATTTGATATAATTCTCTATTAGTGAGAACTGAATTTAGATTTGCTTGTCAATATTTATTATCAAGAGTTTATCCTTTAGACTTTCAACTTTGATTTGAACTGTTTCTTTAGAAAAAATAATACGGTAAAGTTTTGCTTATGGCTTGTAAGAATGGCGCTAAAATAACAGGGGGATTGATAGGAATAATTTTCCACAATCGGAGAAAAGGACAAAACTAGGGACCTCCACTTTTTTCGGCAAAATTTCCGATACCTAACTTTAAAATAAATTTTTAAAAATGAAAAAAACATGCTTGAAGATTTCATTTTAGCTTTAATTGAAAGTTTAATCATTAAATTTATTATTTCCATTAAGTAAACAATTCTGGTGTATTTCAGATAGAAACTATATACATTGGAATGTCAAATTTAATTTTGGAATTTTAAATTTTCGTAATTCCCGCCATTTTCTTAATTTTAAGAAATTTGTAAACAAACACAAATTTATCGATTTTAAAAATATTTTCAAAAGTTTCTGACACGTTATTTTAGTAAAATTAGAAAATTTAATGTTAAATTAATCTGATTTAAAAGAATTATTACTTACTTCTAGCAGTCCGAAACAGAGTCGCATTCAGACAATTACTAAAAGACATTGGAATAGTGATACTGGTCGAGACTACATTGTTCTCTCTACTAAACCTGATTGTTCGTACTAACACTTTCTACTTCTCTGTATATATTCCTGTTTGTAATATATCTGTGTTATTCCATAGCTGTGTTCGAGTTCTTCTTTATTGATTCTACCTTGGCCTATCACCGTGATACAAGGAACCGGACCATAACAGTATGTATGTATGTATGTATGTATGTATGTGAACATGACATCCGGTTTAGAATCTCACCACGGCTGATTTGTCAGGTTGGATACTTCTTGATATTATCAGTTTGAAGTGGGAACAATCCCAGAGGGCGGCACCTTTGGAAAGTGCCTGAAAAACATACCACGAGTTGACCCCGTCATTATGAGTAAAAGTGTGTGGACGGAGCACTTGGTGAACCGCCGATAGCCGTACTAGCACGAAGTCACAAGTCATTGTGACCGATGGTTTGAGTGTGCTGGCTAGATCACGCTAGATAACACGTTCACTCCAAGAAACTGTAACTAAGGTCTGGTCAACATAGATGTAGCATAGACCACAGGTGAGCTCTGAGAGTAATAAACAGAAACAAATGTGTCTGAGCGAACTTCTGCATGAGGGATTTTCTACCCGCCCTAGTAGACAGGTATCCTCGAAATCAAGTGGCCAGCTTATATGTATATATGTATGTATGTATCTCTAAGAACTGATTAAAAGTCACGCATATAAAGTCCAACATTGGCATAACAGATAAGAAGATTTTGCATCATCAGATCTGGTGGAATACTGGAGACTGATTGCAAATGGTGCTATAGAATTCGAAAACTACAGAATTGCATGAGCAGAATTGAAACGTGCTGTTAAATATGTGGAAGATGAGAAGGAAACAAAAAATATATATCGTGCAACGAATGTGGCCAGGTTTGCTTCTCAAAGGCAGGCCTCATTAGCCACTAACGACATCATAGAAACACCACTGTCTACCAACGTGACATCCGGCCTGATATCTCTTGCAGGCACAGTAACAAAATGTGTAGGTCGGCCAGTGCATTCATTTGATATTATAAATATCAGCATCCAGAATGCCAAGCTGATGCAAGAATACATACAAGCAAGGAAGGTGGTGTGACATGCAAGTACTTTGCAGATCTAATGAGCCGCATGAAGCAGCATCAATGAGAAGATATGCAAGACTAAGCATGTTCTCAACGTGTATTGAATATATCAAGTGGTATCTATCTATCTATCTATCTATCTATCTATCATCTATCTATCTATCTATCTTTCTTTCTTTCTTTCATTCTATCTGTCGGTCACTATATCTATCTATCTATCTATCTATCTATCTATCTATCTATCTATCTATCTATCTACACATGTTTGTTCGTATCATATTCTGTCCGTATCTATCTATCCATCAATCTCAGTCTATTCAACACCTATCCATCTATCTATCTATCTATCTATCTATCTATCTATCTATCTATACATGTTTGTTCGTATCATATTCTGTCCGTATCTATATATCTATCTATTTATCATCTATCAGTCTCTTCAACATCTATCTATCTATCTATCTATCTATCTCCATCCATCTATCTATCTATCTATCCATCCATCCATGTTTGTTCGTATCATATTCTGTCCGTATCTATCTATCTATCTATCTATCTATCTATCTATCTATCTATCTATCTATCTATCTATCTATCTATTTTGTTCGTCATCATATTCTGTCCGTATCTATCTTCTATCCATCAATCTCAGTCTATTCAACACCATCTATTCTATCTATCTATCTATCCATCAATCTATCTATCAACATCTATCTATCTATCTATCTATCTATCTCAGTCTATTCAACACCTATCTATCTCATCTATCTATCAACACCTATCTATCTATCTATCTACACATGTTTGTTCGTATCATATTCTGTCCGTATCTATATATCTATTTATCTATCTCAGTCTCTTCAACATCTATCTATCTATCTATCTATCTATCTATCTATCTATCTATCTATCTATCTATCTATACATGTTTGTTCGTATCATATTCTGTCCGTATCTATCTATCTATCTATCTATCTATCTATCTATCTATCTATCTATCTCAGTCTATTCAACACCTATCTATCTATCTATCTATCTATCTATCTATCTATCTATCTACACATGTTTGTTCGTATCATATTCTGTCCGTATCTATATATCTATTTATCTATCTCAGTCTCTTCAACATCTATCTATCTATCTATCTATCTATCTATCTATCTATCTATCTATCCATGTTTGTTTGTACCATATTCTGTCCGTATCTATCTATCTATCTATCTATCTATCTATCTATCTATCTATCTATCTATCTATCTATCCAAGTCTGTTAGTATCCAGCTGTCCCAGTGTGTTCGCATCTATCTATCTATCTATCTATCTATCTATCTATCTATCTATCTATCTATCTATCTATCTATCTATCTACACAGGTCTGTTCGTATCTATCTATATATCTATCTATCTACACAGGTATGTTCGGATCTATCACATTTTGTTCGTATCTATCTATCTATCTATCTATCTATCTATCTATCTATCTATCTATCTATCTATCTATCTACACATGTCTGTTCGTATCTATCACATTCTGTTCGTATTTATCTATCTATCTATTTGTACTCTGATCCACAGATTCGTTGAAAAGAAATTTGAACATGTAATTTGCTCAAAGACGAACCGATCAAAGGCAGAGTTTGCTGACGGCTACCAGTTAAAAGGTCGTGGATTCTGAGAATTGAAACGAAGCAGTCAAAGCCGTAATTGCAACTTTCTATTATGTACCACACCGATTATATATATTCATATGGATTCTTGCGTGTTTCGCTTCACCATTCAGTCTTCAGGCTTTACAATAAGTCATTGGTTGCCTTAGATGTTAACAGTGGCAGTCGACCGATACTGGAGTCGATAGCGCCCGGAAGCATCTCGATCTGCCTTAGAATGTTCCCCGGGTGAGAAGTTTAATATTCATGTCTTAACAAACCGCAAAGATTGATTTGTGACGATAAAAGAAAAATTTAAAAAAAAAAAAAAAAAAGAAAATAATGCTCATGATCTGAAAATTGTTCTATGTCCAAAAGGCAATACACCGACAAAGGAAATCTCTTTCACGTACGATTCATATAAACGTCTCCAGTCGTATATGCTTACATGGATTTTAGAAAGAGATTTATTAGTTACCTGAAGAGGTTAAGAATTTAGAAAGTTTTGCTCTCAAAGGCAGATACGCCCCTATGATTGCAAATCGACGTAAGTTTGTCCTGTGAGCATATTTACAGTTGACTAGACTGCAGTGATGAAAATGAATTAAATTATCCGTATATTCGAATTTTGCTTAATCTCTGACGTAACGACGTGAAGGCGGTTTTCAAATAGCCAAGCACAGTACTCAGAAGCAGAAGAATTTTGTTAGAAACAAAGAAAAAGAGTGCTGAATTGATATCTACATTCATTGATTGATGTACATTCGCATAAGAAATGAATAGAAAATTGGAATTAATTAAAATGCAGTTCTACGGACAGAGACTTAAAGTACATATTTTCATAATTTCAGATCAAATCTTCCACTGCCAGTGATATTTTCACTTTCAAAAAATATAGTTTACAATTTACATAGATGAAAATAAGTAGGCATCGATTAAAAATGACAAAAGATAGTTAATGGTTTAAATATTAAGGCTGAACTGCAGGTGGTATATGATCTCACAAAACATATTGCCGAGAAAAAATGTTGCTGAGAAAAGTTGTAACGATAGCCAAAAGGTTATTTATTTTAAATCTTCTATAAAAATTCTACGTAACGAATAGACTTTCCTCAAACTTGTCTTCTAAACCAAATCTACAAATTCATCGACACTCCTTTAATGTAGACATCAAAAAGAAAAAAAAAACGATGTTTTTTCAACGCCCAATGTAATTTTAAATACAAAGGAAACAGAGTAAGGCGTTCTGTCATATCTAAGATGGATATCCGAAATCTTCAAAAAAATAAAACCCGGGATAAAAGCAATTCAAAAATAAATTCTAATCCGGGAAGAATTGTCTGAATTCTGATGTGAAAGGACCTCATTTGACCTCTCGTAATTGTCACTTTACACTTTAGTTTTAAAAGACACATAAGTAAAAACGGCTTAAAGTATTTCGACTTTGGTATTATATTAGAGGATGTAAAAGCCGAATTGATTCTCGATGCTAGGAAATTTTCTCTCTTTATCGATGTATTTGCTTACAAAATCAAATGCTCTTCTTCAAGTAATAAACGTAATACATTCAACACGTAGTATATTTTCTGTTAAAACTGTCTGGTGCTTCTGATAAATGGCTAGAGATTCTTGACAAAATCCAAGGAAGACTCTGCAATGACGTCGGTGCTTACGTGGTACCTCTGCTTCCCAACAGCCGTAACATAGCTTCAGTCCTTTTCTAAATATACTCCCATGTTAAATTTATTTTTGATGAGCTATCTTATTTGGAAATTTGACCTCACAAATTTAAGATAGGAGATAAGCCTGATCATATTACTATTAAAATTGCTAAATGCGACTGTAAGTTTTATCCCAAAACATGCAAACTTTCGCACTTCTCTCTTGTGGAAATCTGTTGCAGTTCCTTTCTCTCGAGCTAAATACGATCTTCAAGCATCTAAATAAAACGGAATCATTTTGCCTTTTTAAATCCTAATATTCTATTACTCTGCCTCACCTCAAAGTATCACTTGTACCATAGTGGCTTTATCGCATTGCTTATTGTATAATGATTAATAAACAATAAACAGTAAATCTTTGGTTCATAACCAGTGCCCTTCTTGGAGAGATTGACACAAAGAAAAACTCTATATCAGTACTTGACTGGGATGCTGTAATAAATAATCAGTAAACATATAATTACTGCTTAATTTAACGTTACTGGGGCATGACATGTTTCCACGACTCGACATTAAGCGTTGTAAATTAATTAATAAGTACAAGCCTCGATGTCGAATATATTATACGAAGATATGTTCCGTAATGTCAGGTCACTTTATGAATACTACTTTAGTATATAACCCAATACTAACTACCAAGATTCTTTGAAAACGCTTTTCTGGTGAGAAAGATGGCTCGGAATCAAGCAGGATGAAAAGAAGACATATCAAAGCGTGGATGAACATTTTTTTGGTTCAACGGTTATCTAGCACAATGGGATATAATGTGTTCCATAGCTAGGCAAGCAGCGAGAGCGACTATAACACGGCATCGCTCTGTGGAGAGCTTGCTAGAGTTAAGTCAGCGGGGAGACTTCTTTTCTCTTGACTGAATCAACGACCACGTTTCCTTCATCAGGGTGAATTCTTAAGTTGGTGGGCATTTGTCCTGGTTTGACCTGAACAGTGATGAGATCAGTCATGTTTCTCCCCAGCTCAACGATATGTAATTTATGAATTAATAACTCACCGGATTTCAACCCATATAGGGGGAGAGGATTCACCTGTGCAACAACCCTACGAGCACGGACAGGATACTGATCATGATGATAATGGTGATGATATTCCATTTGTTTTCTGACTATTTCGAAATTTGTTCTGAAGAAGGCATATACATTCTATTTGGCCTACTATTCCTGATTCCATAGTAGAGCTGAGGAACTTTTCTAATGTACTACATGAGAAGATGGATAGGTAGTTGATAGAATTTTTTCTCTTTTAGGTGAGGAATTCTTTTGGATTATCAGGACGGTAAGATCTTTCTAAATTGTATATCTCTATAGTATATGTCTCTATAGTATATGTCTCTATATTATATGTCTGTATATCTGTTTATGTCTCTATATATTTATTATATGTCTCTATAATATATGTTTCTATAATATATGTCTCCGCATGTTTATTATATGTCTCTATATGTATATTAGATGTTTCTATAGTATATGTCCCTATATTATATTTTCTATATGTTTAGTATATGTCTCTATAGTATATGTCTTTATATTATATGTTTCTATATTTATTATATGTCTCTATAATATATGTTTCTCTATGTCTCTGCATGTTTATTATATATCTCTATATGTTTGTTATGTTTTTTTAGTATATGTCTTTATAATATATGTCTTTATATTATGTCTATATGTTTATTATATGTCTCTATATATTTATTATATGTCACTATAATATATGTCTCTATGTTATATGTCTCTATATATTTATTATATGTCACTATAATATATGTCTCTATATGTCACTATAATGCATATCTATGTTATATGTCTCTATATGTTTATTATACGACTCTATAGCATATGTCTCTATATTATATGCCTCTATGTTTATTATATATCTCTATAATATCTGTCTCTATGTTATAGTTATTTTCCAAGTGCAGATTAGATGTGGCACAAGGCCGAAAGTATGGGACGCCTAGTGAGGATCGAACTCACTTTTCAGTCGTAACTGATCTAGCGAGACAAGCTTGCTAACCATTACACCGTGCCGAGGTGCCCATGTTTCTACGTTATATGTCTCTATATATTTATTATGTCTATATTATACGCCTCTATATGTTTATTATACGTTTCTATATGTTTATTATATATCTCTATAATATATGTCCGTATAGCATATGACACTAACAGATAAATAGTGTATAAAGCATAAGAGAAGATTTGTAGATGCTATGAGAAATTAATATTATATTTTATTCGCATTTCCTTTTCATAAGGTCAATTGATTACGGCCGTAAACATCTGAGATTAGTAGAATCGGAAAATAACATTTTAAATAAATGTATATACCATTTCGGAAGACGGAAAAAGTTTGCTGAGAAAGAAAAAAATATAACTTGTGTTAGAATAATAGGTAATTTTTAAGTCAAAATAAGTGTATGGATTTCAATTTACATATTTATGTCTTTCAGGAATAATGCCGTAAAATATCTTTTATTTGGCTTAAGAAGAAAACACGAAATATTTACAAACACCAACAAAACACACACACACTCACCAATATATATATATATATATATATATATATATATATATATATATATATATATATATATATTATATAAAAATAAAAAATATTTAAAAAAATCTTCAGACACACTGGTTTGTATATTAATATAACTTCGGTATTATTTCATTTAGTTTCTTCGACTAGTTTCGGCCAACATGGCCATCATCAGGAGAAAAATAATTTTCTGTTTGAGGGTAACAGTGAACTACAGAAATGAATGTATTGATGGAGAAAATGAACTTTTGTCTGAATTTTTCATTTGTTTTTTAATTTTTTTATCATGAATTTTGGTCAATCCTTGTGTTGGTCAAACAGTTTCTTTTTAGTTGTTATTTAAGATAAGAGCTGGATGGATTCATGGTGCTCTGAATGATCTTGGTCATTTTGACAGTTTTATTGGTTCCTGGAAAGGGGATGTGTCTCTGTTTAGTGCGTGTATCTTATTTGGACTATGGTCTCTATGGTAGAATTGATAAAAAGTGTGACACAATGATACAATGACATTTGCATTTAATATATATATATATATATATATATATATATATATATATATATATATATATATATATATATATAATGTAAAATGCAAATGTGTCACTGTGCCACACTTTATCAATTTTAATCATAGAGGCCATAGCCCAATATATCATAC